GGAATTGCACGTGCAGCACACTTTTTCTTCTAATTAGCAAAAAACAAATTTGCACGTGCAGCACGCTTTTTTGTCTTTCCCTTGCCGTTGTTTTGCACGACTACAACGCTGTTTTGTACGACTAAAACGTCAAACTTCCTAGTTACACATTATTCTTATGGAGGAATTGTCGTATCTGCATACCCAATATTTTTTTTCCTGTGTTCATGATCGCTTTTATTTTTCACTGCCGCTCATTTTCACCTTGCTGACCGCTAGCATTTCTCATTTTCTCACCGCCGCTTTGAATTTCCATGTTTTTCTTCCTACGAAATTCGTCTCCTTTGTTTTCAATAACTCGCTCTAGCTCTTTCTCTGTTATCCACATTAGTGTAAACATAAAGAATAACACCGAAAAAGACACGACTTTGTTGTTGTTTTTTCTTTCTAAAAGTCCGGGCGGCCATGTGATTTCCTTCTAAATAAAACCTTGAGTTGCATTTGGGTTGCCATACCCCAGTGATTGAGTTATTTTACATTGGTATGCCTGTGGTGTGGACGAACTTATTTGTAGCCGACACCGGGAGGGTGTCTCCATTGCACTTCCATCTCTATTAATTCTACGCGCCTGCCACGCAGGCTATTCGCGGTTCTTACGTGTGCACCATTCTCTCGCCGAGGGATATCGGTCTGTAGTTGTCAGCATTCGCTTTGGAGAAAAATGGGCATTTTTCCAGTCGTCAGGAAATAAAGCTTTTGGTTAATGATATCACTTTTCACATCTAAAATGTATGGGTTGGCCGGTTTAAGAAGCACACTTGAGAACTTCCTAGTCCAGAACTTTTGGAGGCATTAAATTTTACAGCCACACGGTATATGTGTTCTTTAGTCACACAAATAAAACGTGAAATTTGTAGATGCCCTCTTTTCTATGTATTCATCTTGAAGGGTACTTGTAACTGGAATGTTCTTGGCCGTTTTTATCCATTAGGCAGATATGCTTATTCATTTTATCGGCGATTCCTACCTCTTTTTTGTCATTACCGGAACATAATTAGCCTCCAAGAAAGCTCACTAATCAGTGTTGTCATAGTCAAGTTTGACTTTACGTTAATCGTGCGATAGTGGCAAAGGAAAATGTCAAAAAGTGTGCTGCACTTTCAGAGGTTTTGTTTTACTTCTTAGACCTGTTGCCTATTTTATTTTCTCGCTTTCCTCTTTTCCGTCTTTTCATTGTCCTAGAACATTAATATGGACTCCATAAAGTCAATTGAAAACACTTTATTGTTGACTCACAATCCTACTCCCTGACATCAAAATGCAACAATAGAGTCCTTTAGATTCGAGGACCATTACGAGGACGAGACTTGACTTAAAGTTTTCTTTGTTTTTGATAATTGTTGTTTTAGTTTTTTTGTTTTGTTTTGTTTTTGTTTTACTAGACAACGCAATTTCCATGTTTTTACCAGAAAAGAGAGCACGGTTATTTTTATAGAAAACAAGTTAAGCCCTCTCCTGATCACTTCTAATATTTGAAAACTTACAAGTTCCCGCCACCCTGAAACCCGTAAATGACGACGGTTATCGTATCGTAATCGTTCCCGTCTTAAAACTAAAGATCTCTATCAATATTCTTGCAGAAGGCAAAAATTAAAATGTGGTCAAAAGTCCAGTTTCCACGAGCACTACTCTATAATCCAGTTATTTCATACTTTAATATTTGGCTAGCGTACGAACACAGCCGTCTCTCCTCGCCAACAGGAACGTTTAACTTATGCAATCTTTTGCTGGCACGTTGATATAAAAGTGCTATGTAATGATATGGTTTACTCTTCGACGAAATTTAAACCATTAAGGTTGATTTCCACTGACGCTTTTTTGGCTACGTACGTTAACGCACGTAAATTTTAATCACGTAAATAAAGTAGAGGCAAGATATCTATTATATTTGCGAACGTAAATTTGACTCACATACCCACGTAAAAATAATGCGACACTGGAAATCAACCCTTAGTGTGCGAGTATAATTTAGATTTGGTTCAAACTGGGCCTCTTTTTTTCTCAGAGTACAAATAAATATCAGGGTTGACCTGACCAGTTTTCCACTTAATACAGTAAACATTTCAAAAGTAGGTTGAGTTTGATCGTCCGGGTGAACGTAGTCCTAAATAGGACTGTTGTTGTTGACAGTGACTGACGTTTCGACAACCTGTGCTGTAGTCATCTTCAGAGTCAAAGTGAATTGTATCACGTCAGTTGATGGTATTATACTCTGGTTATTGATCTGATTGGTCAATAACGTCGCCATGTTATTGGTCGTCTGTCAGTTAAGCCGTGATGTTATTGGCTATGAAGACTCGTAATCAGTAATTGGTGCGTTTCGATCCGTCTATTGTCACAGTTAAACAGTCGTCTATTGTTAGTCAAATTGTCAGTTCTCCAGTCGTTCTCTCGTAATTAGTTTTGCTTGATCTCGTCAATAAGTCGTTTGTAGGGCGCTGGTAACTGTTGGCTACGATTCAATTGCCTTTGTTCTAAGTTACTAAACCAGCTTTCTAAAGTAAGGCGTTGATGATAGTAGTCTGTAGAATACGTGATACATGTCGCAGAGTCCCACTCAATTTGATGTTTCGTCTGTAAATGGTGCTCAGCAATGTGATTGTTGACGTCACCATTCCTGGTCGCTCGTTTGTGTTCGGTCAGTCGCGCGCTTAGGTTTCTGCCGTTTCAACGCTAAACGCTCCCATGGTCCACCGCGCGATACTATCGCCCGCAGTAGCGTTTTCCGTTCTCGAAACACACTTGAGACGCCTAGGAACGAGGCAGCTTATCTAATTATATCGAGTACTGATACCTTTAAGACTAACAGAAATCTACTAAACATGAGGTATGTTGACAAGATACCCGCATAACCGGTATGGGATCAAAATGGCGCGTGTGACATCACGATGCCTCGAACATTTCGGATGGTAGGCCTGTGGCGCGACTTAAAGATATAGATAGATCTCTCCCCCATTCCTGGGAAGGTAGTCACCAACTTGTGTCTTGAATAGACCTTTTTAGCTTGAATGTTTTGCTTTCAGATCAGGCAATCCCGGAATTTATCTTTTGTGTCGCCATAAATTATGCACACATATACACGCAGATGCACGCGAACGCGCGCGAGTAGGAAAGGTCTGAAGTGAGGGTACAAACGGAGAGTGAGAGTGGAGAGAGACACGCCCAGTGGGCGTGTGAAGCCCACGTGCTTACCATAAAAAAATCGATCAGCCCAGCGATTCGCACCTTGCAAAACCGATTTTAAGAAAAGTACGACTGTTTTGCAGTCTAAGAGGTCTATTGACAAAATACAGTGTTTTGTATGAAATTTAATCCCAAGCCCGTTTCATTGGAATGGAACGGTGAAATGCAGAAAGGTTCATGTTATGAACTGTTTACAGTCGCCTATTTACCGAGTCTAGCCTGTGGATGAGGATTAAATACACTTAGGGAGTAGGGAACGGTTAAACCCGACGCCCACCCCCTCGTAGCCTACGTGTAGCCGCACCCTGAGAGCAAGATGGCCGCCCGTGCTCGATATCGACAATGTTAAGGGAGAATAGGGAACTGTGAACATTCTAAAAGGTCTTTTGGTAGGAGATCCTCCTCAGTCGTGATCTGTACCGGGATAAGATCAGGAACCTCTGCAGTCAAACCTCACTTTACGGACACCCGCTTAATACGGACACCTCGTTATTACGGACAGTTTGCTTTGTCCCTGGGGGAAGAAAGCCCCTACATTTTCTCTAAATTCAACCCGCTTAATACGGACACCTAATATGGCTTCCTCAGTGTCCGTATTAACGGGGTGTGACTGTACTGATTAGAGAGATTAAGTTTCACGTTTACGCCAAACGGCAAACGTGAATTTGTACCACGTGACCAAGTTTTCCCCTTATTTTTTGTTTACTGTTTATTGCTTCTACACAAAAATAGGTAAATTTATGCCAGTTTTATCCAAAAGAATCGTTCTGGACTGTTTTTATCTGCTTATTTTCTATTTTGAGAAATTCTCAACTGACGTTTGCCGTTTGCCGTGTGCCGTAAACGTGAATCTTAATCTCTCTATTCAATAGAAACGCACTGCGCATGCGATCAGTATTTTAGGATTGAAATCGCAGGCGTAATAGAACGTTCAAATGATATCACGGAAGCCATATTGGTGTTCCTAACAGTAAACTGGCGGCCATGTTGAGTTCCAAGCAATTCTTGTGGGAGTTGAGCTCTTTTCTTAAGGAAAGCACTTTCTTTTGTTCCAATAAATTTACGTAGATGCTGGCTACGTGAGTTAAAACGCTCCATTGGTAGTAATGACGCATAACTTGCAATTAACGCTGATGTTTTTGGACTAAACTACGACTGGGTTAACACACAATCCAAAGTAAAAAAATCTATTAATAAAGCGACTTAATCAGGCGCGCACGTGAAGATTAAGCGAGGATGGGACGAAACAAGAGACCTTCTCTCTCGCAGATCTCAGCTCTGTGGTTTAAGCGACAGATAAAGTTTCCCTTTGATGGTCTTCTGTTCGGGTTGTATCTTTCTAACAATAGCAGCAAGCTTTTTCACGGTCTCATCATTTGACAGGCCTGTTCGTTTGCTCTTGAACTTTTGCAAAAGGTCCTTGCTGGTCATGGGCTTTCTTGTGAGGTACCTTCTCACGGCTTCTTCAGTGATTCCCTGAGGGCCTTCCTCACTACCGGTCGGTGTTGGGGTGCTTGTTCTTGAGCCTCCTCCTGCCCCTCCAGCGGAAGGTGCCGGGGATACAAGAGGTATTTTGCTTGCTGGACTTCCCTCTTCGCCAGGGGTGCCTTTTTTACTTGCACTTGCTGGGTGCTTCTTTGATTTTGCTACAAAAACCCAGACAATTTAAAAAATTGCTTTAACACAGGGAACATGAAACTGATCGGGAAAAATGAAACCACATCCAAAATGCTACTTTGTAAAATACTGTAAAAGAAATAGTACCTGACGAAGGTTTTGCTAAATAGGTTTCATTTACACGGTCACTCCATACAATTTCATCTACGTACCCGGAAAATAGTGGGGATATACCTACAGGGAGTCCATGGTCTGTCCCGACTCAGCTTTGTAGCAGCGGCAGCAATGGTACTAGCAGCGCCGTCTGTAGCAATCGTTGGGGTCGATGAACCGCTATTTAATGGAGCCACTCCCAGACTTTTTCTTTTTCTTCTTGTCACCTTTACAAACACGAAATATATTTCAGATCATATACGAGCAAAACACTCTCAAGATAAACAATTTGTTCACCAGTTAGCACTTAACCTTTTTCGCACTTAAGGCAAATTTCCCGCCTCAACGCTGTGACCGGCCACATGTCACGCAACTAAAAGTGAAACAAGTCATAGCTTTTTTCGCGCTTTGCCATCTCCAAGTCTTTACTCTGTATTTTGATAGGTTCATTTAATTAGTTGCCTCTCATGTGATTGGCCAGAGCAATCCCCTTTGTTGCATTTGACTTACGATAGCCTCTCTTTGGATAATCGTACTCGCCTCGATTACTGCTTCGTTAAGTGGCTTGCACGAATGGTGATTGGTCAGTTTCGTTAATTCTACGTCGCTTCGCTGTGTGACTAGCCACATAGAGAAACAAGTCGTGGAATTTTCCGCGCTATGCGACCGCCGCGTCTTTACTCTACTCGTGATTAAGCACGTCGGACTCCCGCTACGCGGTCGTCTGATTTTGTTTGAATGAATGATAACTTTATTTAAACACGGTTAAAAACATCAGTCTAATATAGAAAATTAATTAAAAATTCTCAAAAACTGTTTTACATATTTGCTGTGTGGGAGTACTGATCAGAAAACCATCTATGGGAACTTCTCTTAAAGAAACCTAAGGAATTTGATGTACGTATTTCCTCAAGAAGATTGTTCCATAGAAGAGCGCCACTGTAACTGAAGCTACGCTTCAGGTAATCAGTTCTTGGTTTTGGGAGCATTAATTTTTTCTTCGCGTTGCGAAAATAGTAATTCGGTGTTCTTGGGGCAAACAAATTACAGAGATAAGCTGGGGCGAGATTATTGATGCACTTGTACATTAAATTAGCCTTTTGTTTAGCCCTTCTAACCGATAAATTGTCCCAACCAAATCAGTAATTGGTGCGTTTCGATCCGTCTATTGTCACAGTTAAACAGTCGTCTATTGTTAGTCAAATTGTCAGTTCTCCAGTCGTTCTCTCGTAATTAGTTTTGCTTGATCTCGTCAATAAGTCGTTTGTAGGGCGCTGGTAACTGTTGGCTACGATTCAATTGCCTTTGTTCTAAGTTACTAAACCAGCTTTCTAAAGTAAGGCGTTGATGATAGTAGTCTGTAGAATACGTGATACATGTCGCAGAGTCCCACTCAATTTGATGTTTCGTCTGTAAATGGTGCTCAGCAATGTGATTGTTGACGTCACCATTCCTGGTCGCTCGTTTGTGTTCGGTCAGTCGCGCGCTTAGGTTTCTGCCGTTTCAACGCTAAACGCTCCCATGGTCCACCGCGCGATACTATCGCCCGCAGTAGCGTTTTCCGTTCTCGAAACACACTTGAGACGCCTAGGAACGAGGCAGCTTATCTAATTATATCGAGTACTGATACCTTTAAGACTAACAGAAATCTACTAAACATGAGGTATGTTGACAAGATACCCGCATAACCGGTATGGGATCAAAATGGCGCGTGTGACATCACGATGCCTCGAACATTTCGGATGGTAGGCCTGTGGCGCGACTTAAAGATATAGATAGATCTCTCCCCCATTCCTGGGAAGGTAGTCACCAACTTGTGTCTTGAATAGACCTTTTTAGCTTGAATGTTTTGCTTTCAGATCAGGCAATCCCGGAATTTATCTTTTGTGTCGCCATAAATTATGCACACATATACACGCAGATGCACGCGAACGCGCGCGAGTAGGAAAGGTCTGAAGTGAGGGTACAAACGGAGAGTGAGAGTGGAGAGAGACACGCCCAGTGGGCGTGTGAAGCCCACGTGCTTACCATAAAAAAATCGATCAGCCCAGCGATTCGCACCTTGCAAAACCGATTTTAAGAAAAGTACGACTGTTTTGCAGTCTAAGAGGTCTATTGACAAAATACAGTGTTTTGTATGAAATTTAATCCCAAGCCCGTTTCATTGGAATGGAACGGTGAAATGCAGAAAGGTTCATGTTATGAACTGTTTACAGTCGCCTATTTACCGAGTCTAGCCTGTGGATGAGGATTAAATACACTTAGGGAGTAGGGAACGGTTAAACCCGACGCCCACCCCCTCGTAGCCTACGTGTAGCCGCACCCTGAGAGCAAGATGGCCGCCCGTGCTCGATATCGACAATGTTAAGGGAGAATAGGGAACTGTGAACATTCTAAAAGGTCTTTTGGTAGGAGATCCTCCTCAGTCGTGATCTGTACCGGGATAAGATCAGGAACCTCTGCAGTCAAACCTCACTTTACGGACACCCGCTTAATACGGACACCTCGTTATTACGGACAGTTTGCTTTGTCCCTGGGGGAAGAAAGCCCCTACATTTTCTCTAAATTCAACCCGCTTAATACGGACACCTAATATGGCTTCCTCAGTGTCCGTATTAACGGGGTGTGACTGTACTGATTAGAGAGATTAAGTTTCACGTTTACGCCAAACGGCAAACGTGAATTTGTACCACGTGACCAAGTTTTCCCCTTATTTTTTGTTTACTGTTTATTGCTTCTACACAAAAATAGGTAAATTTATGCCAGTTTTATCCAAAAGAATCGTTCTGGACTGTTTTTATCTGCTTATTTTCTATTTTGAGAAATTCTCAACTGACGTTTGCCGTTTGCCGTGTGCCGTAAACGTGAATCTTAATCTCTCTA